TTAGGCTGAACATTTGAGCCCTTATGGTAAAAATTCTTGGTGTTTTCGCTTTATTTTGTTTTATTTTATATTTTTGGTCATTTATGGGACCAACAATGGTATTTGAGCCTTCAATCTGAAGTAGAACTCCTTCGAACCTTCTTTACTTGACTTTCTATGGTTTAAAACTCTAGATTTGTATAAATCTAGATATTTCAAGGGTGAAATCTGGTTTTCTTGGAGGTTGAGCTAACCTCGAAAACATAAGAACATAAAATTTAGAGCTTCTTTTGTATAGGTTTTCATGTGAGAACCTTAGTATTTGAGAGGACTACAACCAAGTTTTATCAATCATTTAATCTTTGTAATTTGTAGTTAAATTGTCCATTAAATTGATATGTTAGTGTTTGTATAATTGTGAAAAGTATACCGCATGTTAAAATTGTAAGTTTTGTTAATATTTTGATGTTTCATTAAAATTTATTTCACACATTTTAAGTGATTATATATCTCATAAAAGTGTCCCCCATTTAAACCATTGAAACTTTTTCTGTGTGAAAAATTGGTTTTCAAGAAACTATCCATTCTGAAAGGTTTTAAAAAGAAAAGAAAATTGGTTTTATCTTTGGTTTTTCTATATATTGCCAACATTTTTTTTTTCCAAAAGAAAAATGGGAAGTACCAAGTTAGATATTGAGATTTGGAATAGCAAAGAAGATTTTAGTTTCTGAGTCCAAAAATGAGAGCTCTACTTTACAAAAATATGTGCTGAAGTCTTGGATGAATCTTGGATCGATGATTTTGATTCAACCAAGAATATTGATCATATTGAAATTTCATGGAGTAATTTGTTTCTGCATTATCTTAGTGTAACAAGAGAAGTTTATATATACAACAAATACCGTTGCACAATAGTGGAAAAAATTAAAAAGTCTTCACACTAAAATACTGCCAAATAAAGGTTATTTGTTGAAGGAAAATTCCTCAAGTACAAGATTTTTCGTAGACAGCTATTTGAAAAAAAAATAAAAAAAAAATCATGTACTTATAGCATGTTTCTTTGTGGAAACAGTTTTTAAGTTGATTTTGAAGCAAACATGGACAGATTTAATAAGCTATCCTTGATTCTAACTAATAGTTATGAAACTATAAATCTAGCGATCAACAATATGTAGTTTTATATAGTATTTTTGTCTGAAAAATGCTTTAAAATATGCTAAAAAAAGTATAACTGTTGATATAATTGTTTCTTCATTGAGAAATAAAGATTGCGAGTTAAAAAATGAAATCAAAGATTCCTCAACTAGAATTAGTTCAATGGTTAGAGGAAATAATTTTCGAAAGGAAACAAAAATAATAAATTAGATAAAGAAAACACTGGCGAAGGCAAAGAATTTTTTTTTTATAAGGAAAAAAATAAATAGAAAAATAAAATTAAGCCTAAAGGTAAAAGTTGTTATTTTTGTGAAAAATTAGGATTCTTTAGAAAATATTGTTACAAGTAGATAGATGAAATGAAAAACACTCAAAAGACAAAGGATGTAGTTGCAATAGCTTATGAAGAGACTGCAACTACAAATGAAAAAGTCTATATGACTAGCCATTTAACAGTTAAAGATGAGTGAATTCTTGATATAGGGCATACACTTCATATTTATAAAGAATGTTTTATTAAATTTTTGGAAATTAATGGCGGTCAACTATGGAAAATAAAAGGAATTGAAAGAATGGTTTTAAATTTCGAAAATGATCATACTCTAATTCTTGAAAAAATCAAATATATACCAGATTTAAGGAGAAATATAATTTCTCTTGAAATTTTTAATGATGAATGTTACAAAATAATCATAAAAATTTGAATTATTACTATTCTTAATAGTTTTGCTAAAATAATTAATACACCAAAGACCAATGTAATTTATGCTTGTGTTTGAGCCCCATTACTTCCCATGAATTTCCATTTTCTTCAATCAACAATTGATGGCCAGAGAGACCCAAAAAGATAGTGCATGCATAGACCCTGACACATATATTTGAAAATGTTGAATTCCCAATTTTTAAACACAACCACTATTTGAGCAAATGACGTTGTAATTCCAACGTGGTTGCCAACGGCTACCTACCGGTTTCATACGTGACAAAAAAACAAAAAATTAATTCAAACGACGTCTGCATACAATTCATTTTTGGGCGTTCCTTTTACGAAAATAAAAAATTTGGCATTCGTAGCATCAACTAAAATTCACACATCCCAACATTTATTCAAGTGGTAATTTACGCTTTCATATCGGCTTACAACAACAATTTAACGTTCACCTAGTCAACGTATGGTGTGTGCTATGTAATCTCGTAACTAGGTCCACGTCACATTCTCGTTCGCAATTGCATCCTCTTCCACTGTAACTTCGTCTTCCTCATCTAGTAACTCAACCTCGACTGCTTCGTCATCTACTTCTTCAGCCCTGCGAAAGCCTTCGTCGAGTCGCAGAAAATTATGGACTATCATTGTTGCCACAACCACAGTGATTTGGGCTCGATATGAATAACTAGCCATTCTGTCGAGAATTTTTCATCTCTGCTTCCAGACTTCGAATGCACGGTCAATAATGTTTTGACATAATGAGTGGTGAAATTTGAACCTTTCGCGTGCATTTCGAAATCGATAACTACCGCCACCTTGATCATGAAATTCTTGAAAGTGATAACGTACATCCGACTCTTTGTGTGATGCCATGTAACCCGGCCTATGTGCAAATCCAGAGTCCACCAGGTAATATTTCCCGTCTGTCAGTTCCGAAAAATGTATGTTGAGATTATGCACTGTGTGGGCTAATATACGGCTGTCGTGCGTGGGGCCCATGTTTCTGGACAACATAAATGTGAAGCATAAGACATTCTGAGTGGGCACCCTTTTTCGCCCTATGAAGTTAATTTGTTTATGTCGTGGCAACACCGTTCGCACATAGGTCCCATCAATAGCACCAATACAATCCTGCGATGTCCATTTCCAACAATGTCAAATACTCATTATGGAAGGACAAAATAACTATGTCCATCGAGACAACTTGCAGCATCATAAACATACCTGGAACAACGAATATCGCTCTGGATCGGGGTGATGATGTGCAGGGCCATGGTTGTAGTTTTCATGAGGTCGTATCATGTCTGCTTCCAGCACACTGATGACGCGAAGCACGCACTTGAAATAATGGTCGATGGTCTACAGTGAATGTCCAAACAACTTTTGCACCTAGCGATATCCCTTCCCGTGCGCCAATATACACAAATACATACCAACCTGCTCATATGTATCGATGTTTGTACTGCTTTCTAATCCATATCGATCTCTCAGAACATGTACAAAGTGTTCACATGGGCGGGTACGTTCTGAACTCCTGAAAGCACATTTGCGGATACATATGCATATTTTGCAACATGAAAATATGGCCGCTTCGTGTGGTAGGAAATAAATACCGGTGGCCTCGAGGTATTGGCATACCATCCGCTCAATGATACGACAATATTGTAGCCACGACACCATATCCGCCTCCTGCTACTGCAATATGTCTTCATCCGAGCCGTCATCCGAACAAGTGTTGGACACGAGGTCACAATCGATCTCCGATAACGTATGCGAACCGGACGTGTTTGTCATCTCCTCGAAGCAAGGCCACGGCACGTGAAAAATCTTACTATATGTGGAAGCGTCAAAATTCAACTATGATTGGGATGACAATTGCTTTACCTGATATTTTGCCAATTAGCACTTCCATTTTTTATAGCCAAAGCCTTTGCAATGCATATAACCAATAGCAAATAGTTAGTGCCCACAATTATTGATTTCAGTAGCAGGCATGCAGAAGGTGCACTGACAAGGTAAAATATTCGCTGTATCATGCCGGGAATCTTGGCTTCTCCAGAGCTATTGACATATTTCAAAATGTTAGGAGTTGAATGCCAGCCTTTAGGTAATAATGGAATATGTGGTACAAAGTTATTTCTGTTCAAAGTTTTGGCTCTTCCAGAACTTTAGACGCATTTCAAAATTATATGGAGTACACTGACATAACGTTGGTAATAATGGAGTCTTCGGGAGGGAATTATTTTTGGAAAATTTTTTGCTTTTCCAAAGCTGTTGACATATTTCAAAATTGTCGGAGTAGAACGATAGCATTTAGATGGTGATGGATTCTGTGGTACCCAATTATTTACATGTGAAGTTTTGTCTCTTCCATAACCAGTGACATAGTTCAAACTTATGGGGTAGACTTTTTTACTTACGTAATAATGAAGTCCTTGGGAAGGACTTATTTCTGGAACAGTTTTTGCTTTTCTACAACTATGGACATATTTCAAGATTGAAGGAGTTGAATGACAGCCTGTAAATAATAATTGGGTCTTTGGTACCAAATTATTCGTGTTTAAAGTTTTGGCTCTTCCAGAATTATTGATATAGTTAAAAATTATAGGAATTGACTTTTTGACTATACATAATAATAGAGTCTTTGGGCACGAAGTATTTCTGGCCAAAATTTTTGCTTTTCAAGAGCTATTAATAGCCTTTAGGTAGTAGTGAAGTCCACAGGAATGAATTATTTCTGGACAAGCATGAAAACCAGTCACATGTAACCATTTTCAATGTATTAATCACTAAAACATCCATAGCAAAGTACGTAAAAGTTGCATGCAAGAACTGGAACAACAAAATATTATTACTACAAGCAGTACGGACGATAACTACAATATCAACGCGTAAAAATGGAGTCATACATACGGCACATACAATCGAAGCACGATTATCGGCTCCCGAAACCTGGCATCTGGTCGCATTCGAAGTAATACGTGATCCACTTATACCTCAAATTCAGCATTTTAGCGGCACTGTGCACTACATGGTTGTTGAAATTCCTTAGGAACCACAACGCAAACATGTGCAACTTATCCCGCTTCAACGAGGCCAGTCGAAAGCAAATCATCGATGCACTCATGGAGAGTCATTCGACCCTCTTCTTTTGTGCGAATCACTGTGGCATCTCCCTCGATGTGCAAGCAAGGTTATCTACCGACTCAGAAACCTCCCTCGCACCGAACTTCTTTCGCTTCCCCTTGGCATGTTTTCCTTTACGTTTCTCGTTGCTTCGTTGAAGGGAGATATTCATCGATGAGCTCGCTCTTCCTGGCGTCGGGCCATCGCTCGAATCAGTAGTCTCGACATTGACAGGTAACATGTCGTTCAAATCATCCATGTCGGAGTTGGCGCCTAAGTCAAACATAAGTTGAGACAGCTTCATGGATGTCAATACGTACTTCATGGAGTCACAACTACCTCCAAACAGACGATTGTATTTATGGTAGATTTCAGTGCTATCGTTATCCTTGAACTTTCCATACCGAGGGTTCTCCTACAATGAAACACGGGAGCATTAGTACGACATTATGGAGTTGTTCGCATGTAAAATCGTTTCTAACAAAAGCGAGTATAACGCAAATTAGAGTCTATCATTACCTTAATTTTCTGCTTCCACCACCATTCCAACGTGTCTATTCTGCCCCCAGTACTAAGACCGCAAGCTATTCTCGTGCACTGGAGCATCTCAAACAGTAGTTTGTGGTCTGTACGCATAGCGTCCCAATGGTTTTTTAGCTATGTGATAGTCCAGTCCTTCCCAACATTTTTGTTGAACAATTCACATAATTCCCACCCGGTTGACGAAAAGCAGTTTTCCCGACGGTGTCCCTCTATAGTGACGTGTTTGGCGACGGACATGAAGATCTTCTGCTCTCGAGGTTTCCATCTAGCACACTTTCGAGCCTTCGACTTCTTTTCGAGGTTAGGGTTTGATGATGCACCCTACATGGCATCCGAATTTTGCAATAACACGAGTGTAATAGGAAGGAAGAGCCTTTACAAATACATTGTTACGCCACTATATAAATATGATAAAAACTACTAGTAACACGAAGGTCGATATTCCTCAACCTTAGTTCACTTAACAGAAATAGTTATATTGACCAAGGAAAATAGTTTTCATGAAACAGAACAACAGCCTACAATTTGAACTCCAAGAGGCAGGAAACAGTTCCACTATACTCGGTAAAAGCCACTAACTTATACCAATTTCTGGTATACCAAGTGAGGCAACCTTAAGCTGGTGCCCGGTCCTACCGATCTTGCAAATTTTTAACAGTGAGGCACATGTTTACTCAAATTAACAAATAAAATGGGGAAAAAAAAGATATAGCAAGCAGAAGCACAAATAACAACTCAAAGAGTTCTAGCTAATGTAATGAACGCTAACCTGGCACTCCGACGTTGTTAACTTACAAAGGCATGTCACTTGCGATAGAAACAACATTCAAGTCATAACAATTAAAAAAGGAGTATTGAAGGGGATAATTCTCACAACAACGAATTTTCAGTACATCGTAGAGCAAGTGATTTGGGTGACATAAAGCTTCAGAAGCTCATATCGATGACCACGTACGGTCGACGACAGTGTTGTGTTCTACACTGTACGTGGCCCACCTAATCTACAGTTGACTGACGCCACGAGCTTATGTACATGGTGCATGCCAGTGTCTATACTTCTAGAATGGGAATGTAGAGAGTTGGGAGAAATAGTTGAGTTTCAAGCGTACCATATTTTTCGGATAATAATCGAAATCGTCGACGTCGTAGGCCATTTTCCTTTGCTGCAGATTGGAACCATCGGAATTTCTTGCACAATTGGATTGTGAACTTGAGCCTGGATGTTATGCGTCGTTGGAGAAAGAAGATATGCATATCGGCATGTGGGGCACGACAGGAAATGGCCTTGCACAAGGTTTGATCGGCAACGGTCGCCACAGAAAATGGACAGCAGGAAGCAGGGGCGTTTTCTTTGCAAAATTGATTGTAGAGACCAGTTGGAGGAGGAAAGCAATGGGGAATTGATTTTGCAGGGAAGGGTGCAGTAGGTTATTATTGAAGGGTAAATTCGTAAAAGAGAATGCCAAATCAGGGGTTTTGACGTCAATTGTCTTCACCTTTTGTGTGTGTAATAAATAAGTGTACCATGTGCTTGCAGTCTTTGTAAGAAGAGGGAATCAAATACCTTTGACTTGGGGATAAAAAATTTTGAAACCAAAATGTAATGGGGCTCAGACACAAGCTATGTTTTAAGGGTTGCACTCTTGGTGGGTGATCCACTAGTTGCTGCAGTATCTTTAAATGACAAATTTGAATTATGACATAAAAGATTTGGCCGTATAAGTGAATAATTTGCATTATTAGGAAGAATAGAGATTTTTTTTTTGATGAAAATATCATTTTTGTGAATAATGCATTTTGGAAAAACAAAAAACAACTGTCTTTATCTGTTCCATTCTCCGGATAATTCAAATCGAAGCAATTGGATGTCCAATTTGGGCCGATCAACAGAAATACTCCACCCTTGGATTACTTGCATATTGATCTGTGGGAACCAGCTATTGTGTGTGTATATTTGGATTTTAAATATTTCTTCATAATAATTGATAATATCTCTAGAAAGAATTGGGTTATCTTACTAAAGAATTAGTTCGATACTTGCCTGAATTTTGAAAATTGGAGACATCCCATTCAAAATCAGGTTAATAAGAACTTAAGGACTCGCATTGGTTTCTGCAATGAAGAATTTGATAATTTCTATAAAAAAAAGCGGGATGGGGAATTCTTAAGCACAAATCTGTTACATATACTCAATAAAATTCTTTAGCCAAAAATAAATAAATGACTAGGACTTTATTAGAAAATGTTAGATGTTAATCAATTCATGGTTCAAAATTATTTTGGTGGGAGAAGTTGTTAAGATTGCATCATGCTTAACTAATAAATGCTCTACTAAATCACTGGAGTACAAAAAAACTTGATCAAATATGGAATGATCATCTTGTTAATCAAATATTTAATGTATTGTTTATGCACATCAGAGTGAAAGGAAATTAGAATTAAAAGTTATTAAAGGCATATTCTTGGGATATGGGAAAGGGGTAAAAGGCTATAGGCCGTAGCTTAAAAATAAGAAAGACTACAGAGTCATAATAAGCAGAAATGTAACTTTTAATTAGTTGTTTACACTTTAAAGGAGAAAATTCTAAAAGTACATAATAATGGTCTGGTTAAAAATTGAGATAGTTGTTCTCATTTCTTTAGATTTAAATCAAAGAAATGATGATAAAATTGAAGAAGAACAAACTTAAATAGAAGAAAATGCCCTGAAATTGAACACTGAGAATTCTGAGTCTGAATTGGCTCGGGATAAAGCCAAGAGAGGAACAAGAACATTAACCAGGTTTGGTTAAGCGAATTTGACTTCCGCATATAATAAATAGAACTTTCTTGAATTAGAGCCTAATTCATTTGAAGAGGGCGTAAGTGGAAAAGACGCAAACATCTGGCTTGCAACTATGAAGAATGAAATGCATTTCTTATTAAAATAAAATAAAATCTGGACCTTAGTCAATAAACCAAATGGAACAAAAATGAAAGGTTGTAAGTGGATTTATAAAATCAAATAGGGTGAATTCAAAGGCAATAGTTTGGGGTATAAGACTCGGTTGGTTGCTAAGGGTTTCACTCAAAAGGAAGGATATAGACTATAATAAAATATTTTTTCATATAGTTAAATGTACTTCTATAAAAATTCTATTATCTTTGATTTCACAATTTGATTTTGAATTGGACAATAGAGTAAAAATTGTCTTTTTGAATAGTAACTTGGATGAATAGACTTATATGATTAAAAATTGGTTTTGAACAAAAAGAACAATAAATTATATATGCCTTTTGCATAAATCTTTACACAATTTGAAACGAGCTCCTAAGCAATGGTATAAAAGATTTTGTACTTTTATAAAACGATCTGATTTCAATAAAAGTGAATATTATTCATATTTTTATATTGAAGAAAAATATTGTTCAAATTCTTGTTATCTTCTGTTAGATGGATGATATATTATTGGATGAGAGTGATGTTTATGAAATTACTTCAATTAAACAGAAATTAAAGGAAATGAGTTATTTTTAAATCAACAAACTTATATTTCTTAGGTGTTAGATTTTTTAATGTTTGAAGAAAATTTTGTGAGCTTGCCTTTAGTCAGTCACTCTAAAATGCCAATAGAACATTTGCCTAAATTGAAGAAGAGCTTATTAGAATGAATAAAATTCCTTATGCTAATTATGTGGGCTCTGTAATGTACATAATGGATTGTTGTAGCATTGTCTTCAATTGTTGCTGCATACATTGTAGCTATAGATGCTGTAAAAAGAAGGTATTTGGTTAAAATGTTTGATGAATGGAATTGGATTTGTTGAGAATAATGTTAGTTTTTGCTCTACACACAAAGTACTATGCATTTAAGTAGAAATTCTGTTTTTTATGATAGAACTAAAGATATAAAGGTTAAATTTCAAATCATCAAAATTATTTTAGAGAAAGAAATCAAGAAAATTTTCAAAATTTCTACTAAATACAATCCAGTAGATGAGAACCAAAATACTACATTTGTATAAGTTTGGGGATTATTTAAATCTATAAAATATTAATATCACTACAATATTTTATAACATTCAAATATAGCATTTTTATGGTAATGCTATAAAATAAAAATGATTTTTTTTTATCTAAACTTATTATAATAACATTAATTAAAAGGTCCATTAAATTAAGCAGCCCAAAGTGCTTATCTCCATGTTTTACTCAAATATTGACTTTAGCTTTTATGCCTTATTTTTTTTTATCTTGCATCTCTTTCATACGATTCATTCCCAATATATTTTTCCAGCAATTCACTCATTTACCCCTGTTCCCTACCCCATCTCATACTCATCCCCAGTTTCTTTTTTTTTTTTTTTAGGAACTATAGGGAGCGAGTACAAGTTAACTGTGAATAGTTACAATTTTCTCACAAACAAAAAAACATTTTTGGAGAGAAACTAAAAGAGAGGCTGGGTCTGCCAAAGAATGAGACAAAAATTAAGAAGCTAAAGAACAACTATTGAAGAAGATGGGCAATTGTGGCACTAGGAAGGAATATGATGTTATTTCTGTAGACTCTGGAAAATGGACCTTCACGTGGCAAACAGAAAGTAAGTCCACATATATTCCTCCCTGCATACTTAGCATAAATGGCCAGTGGCTCCTGGACATTCCCAGTGATAGTGGTTGGGTTACGAACACTTCGACTATCAAGTTAGCCAACAATAATTGCACACAACTAATTTTGGTAACGGGAACTATCAGAATTTCTATATTATCTTAAGATGAGTGGATAATAGTGAATTCCTAATTGTGAAGTTTCAGTACCTTAAAAAGGCATAGAACACAAGTATTTATAAAGAAAAAAAGTGGAAGAATAACCATTAGATGGAGAACATGTGGCTTCATCTGCTTGTTCGAAGTGTCTTTTTATAGAAGTCCATTTATCACTTCATAGACAGGAAGGCATTTAATGTTTCTGGATTTGAATTGACGCATTTGCAACTGTTGCAGAGATGTCAAATTCATCATTCATATGATTTAATTTTGGATAGATATTTGCCTAAAAGATCTGTATCTTATGCCGAAGCATTGACTATACATCAGCAAGTGTGTCTTCTAG